ATGATCAATTGTTTAGCAACCCTTCAAATAAACCGAACAGATGGCAAAGGTCTCGACAGTCAAAGTCTGTTTCCTGATCACCAGTGATACCAAGCTGAGTACAGACTGGTTCATAATTTCCCATACTATACCCAAATGGCTGGGCGATGGTGAGCTGAGGTACCATTTGGACCTGATTCGTTGCTAGTTCGTTTCTTACTTTCCGTTGTACAAATGTTCTTAGCTCCGAAAACGTACACACAAAATTCGATCCACTGTCGCTTTCAATTTCTGCGGTCCTCTCTTTTCTTCATATAAGACGTGATAGAAACGTCATAAGTGAATAAGTGTTTAAATTGTTATTTCTTCATGCACAACTCGATCTATAACTTTCTTTGAATAACCTTTCTCTCTTTACCACGAAACGTCAAAAGTAGTCTACTATCATGACGGAAAAGCTTTATTAGAGCGGAGCAGTGAAGCCATGTGTTGTTTCACATACATTCACTCTGAACGTCCAAGAAGGCTCTTATGATAACCTAATTTCAGTGAATTTGAAGGAAAATGCACATGTTTTCAGGAACTACGCGTATGTTGTAAACTTGTACCATAAATCATATATATTAATGTTATGTACGTGCCTATCTAAAAACCATACAGGTTTATATACCTAATGTAAGCACTGTTTTAGCGACAAAAAACGCTCACGACACTAAACATATGATAAAATACTCTCAGCGAAGAAACTTGAGATTTTCCTGATTTTTCATACTACAATCAATATGTGAGGTGAATTGTGAAGGAAACGCATATTTAGATAATCAAGAACGAACAAAATAGCCGTGGCATAAAGGTTTTCACATAGAGTCATGAGTTCTTAGAACTTGTTACTCGAAGCAGTGGTGTCCGCAACTTCAATTGACTCATTCAAGAGAAGACTAGATACTCATAGAAGCATACTAGAAAAGGAATAACATGGGCCGTAGGCCTTCTGTTCTTAGTACACAAATCTGAAATCTGGTGATCTATTCAACATTCAGTGACATAACTGCCGGATGGCTTGGTTAGGATTCAGTGATATTTCACTGGCCCTACAGGGCTTATGACTGTGAAGATGCCACAAGCATTCAGTGTTTGACAACTCTTTAACCAGTAACACCTAATATAACTTGTACCCACCAAAAGAAATCAAAAGACAGTATCGAGGAGATTGGAAGATATATTTGATGACTATCAATATATCGAGAATCGACTGATCTAATCTGGCTAGCGATTGCAGTAGATGTTGAGCACGGCGTTCCCACTCGTGATCTGATGCGGATGCATGACCGAGCGCCTTCAGCTAGGTGAGTCCATTAAAAGATGTGGTCAGCATCCAATGTCGAAAACTTATAGAGCAATTTATTTTGGGGATTTATTTACCGCTACAACTGTATGATGTACGAAGTTAAACTGAGGGTGTATTAGATTGTGATCCTACAAAGTAGTAGGGGTGGAAAATAATGTTATATAATTATATATATTTAGTGTGCATAATTATACATTTTATACACTTATTAACCAGACAGTAAACACTGATGGCTATTTCTACCATGTTCATTTGCCGCAACTGTGTCGGTAGAGTCAAGGGTATCGAGAAAGAAAAGCCTTAGCCGCAAAATTTCTAGCTCTTGAAAGAATACAAGCTTTGAAGGAAACTAGTTTTTGCTATCTGCTAGTTCTAAAACCAAACGATGATTGAATGCTTAATGGAAAGGTTGTTGAGAAAACCTCGAAACAACCGAGCTGACTATTTAGGTGAGTAAGAGCGACTTACACATATTCGGCTGAGATACTTTCACTTTTTTCTGATTTTGCATCTTCAGTTATGACTATCCACTAAAAGCAAAAGGTTAAACAACAGTAGTGATTTATTATAAAGTTATTCGTTTCCGCTAGTTACTAATACAGCCAAGTTCACAACCTCGAGTTTAACAATCTTGAGGAATCCATATGGTGCTCTTCAAGATTGTCTAGTACTTCGAGGTGTCTAGTCGGAGTCATTTACAGGAACCCAACTGCCGACATCGAGTACGATAGTCGTATGCTGGAAGGACTATCCCGCTCTATCCGTCTCGGTTTCACACACATCTTGATTCTAGGGGACTTTAATCTCCCTAGAGTCAACTCCGCGGAACACACGTACACTGGAGGCGACAACTCAATTGAAGCTCGGTTCTTCAACCTCATCGATGACTTGGGCTTATATGAAAATGTGAGGTCGGCAACTCGTTGGAGAAACAGTCAGACACCATCGCGCTTAGACCGTGTATTCACTAACGAAGAATTCCTAGTCGACAACCTCTCAATCCTGGCTCCTCTGGGAAAGAGCGATTATCCCGTCATAGCCTTCAGTTTTGTCATCAAAACTAAGCTAAGGTATCCCAACAATAATTTGCGTTGGAATTTCAAACGGCTGAATGTGCCAGCTCTACATGACTATCTACAACAGGTGGTTTGGGATGTTCACCCTCAACTCGATGTGGATGGTCATTGGGACTTCTTACTGCACACGCTCTTATGTGCTACAGACCATTCAGTTCCTCAAACGGTTCCCAAAAGCTGCAAGCCACCTACAGTAATCAAGAACCGTACCCTTCGCCTGCTAAGTCGCAAAAGGCACTGTTGGGCGGAATACAAACGAACTGATAACGACGGAGCGTATAGGCAATACAAACATATCAGGAACATATGCACGAAGGCTATAAGAGAAGACAGGCTTCAGTACCAGATAAAGCTTATGGACAAATTTGCCTCTAACCCTAGAAGCCTATTCCGCTATGCAGCCTCTCTTCGTCAAGCCAAAACAGGAGTTTCTCAACTGCTAGGTCTTAACGGCCCGACCAACAACGACGGCGACGCCGCTAACCTTCTGGCGGCACATTACTCTCAAACATTTCAACCGGCTGACATCAACTTTATTGACGACAGTTTCATCTGCAGTTCCACAGGACTTTCCGAAGTGGACCTAAGCGCTGACTTGGTGTTCCGGAAATTGCAGCACTTAAGACTAGATACTTCTCCTGGCCCGGATATGGTTCATCCTGCCATACTGAGAGAGGCAGCCTCAATCTTGGCAACGCCGCTTAGCGTGATGTTTTCACACTCGCTAAGCCGAGGCAAATTACCGGAAAATTGGAAGTTGGCTCACATCACACCAATTTTCAAAGGAGGTCGACGCAATGAACCTTCAAGTTATCGGCCGGTGGCTCTTCTTTCATTACCTTCAAAACTCATGGAGTCCCTTGTAGCGGTAAATAAATCCCCAAAATAAATAGCACTAAGTTTTCGACATTGGATGCTGACCATATGTTTTAGTGGACTCACCTAGCTGAAGGCGCTCGGTCAGGCATCCGCACCAGATCACGTGTGGTAACGCCGTGCTCAACATCAACCGCAATCGCTAGCCAGATTAGATCAGAGAATTCCGATATATTGGTCATCGCCAAATATACTCTTCCGATCTCCTCGACTCTGTCTTTTGATTTCTCTGGGCGGGAACGAAATATATTAGAAGGTGTTACTGGTAGAAGCGTTGTCAAACACTGAATACCTGTGACATCAACATTGGTGAAACCGACGTGATCTGGTACACCTAATTGCAACTGTGAGTCTGTTCCTTTTTGGGATTTTTATATATCATTGCCTTATTTTTTTAACTTTTTTAAACATTGTGATTTTTTTTCGTGTTTTTTCCTGGATATATATATTTTCCCCTCGTTCATTATCGTACTTCATACTTCATCATGACTGAACAGACACCTAAAGTACTCAAGCTTAAGACTTTGTCCCCGCCTTCGTTTCAACTGATGCCTTTCTGGCCCGACAACATCGAAGCCTGGTTCTGCTACGCAGAAGCCGACTTCTCCGAGCACGGCGTGATCGACACACGTGCACAATTCCTCGCAGTAGTCAAGGCACTACCGCGCGAATTCAACAGGTACGTGACACCTAGTATGTTTACTAGTGATGTTTCCGATCCTTACGAAATCTTAAAACGCTCGATTCTTAAACGAGGAGACCTAACCGATCGACAAAGGTTAGATCAACTCTTCAACAATATCGACCTGCAACATGGTTCTGCGACAGACATGTTGCAACGGATGAGAGAGGTAATAGGCCCAAGAACTTTCGACGAAGGCCTATTCAAACAACTCTTCTTGTCAAAACTTCCCCAACAGGTGCAAGCAGTTCTGGTCTCGTTCCAGAACAATGCCTTAGACGAGCTAGCTGCATCTGCCGACCGCATATTAGAAATTACGAAATCTACTACCGAGGTATTTTCAGTCAAAGAAAAACCTCAAACGACTCAGAATGATATAACCGACTTATGTCACACACTCACGCGTTATCTTAGTCTTCGTACCGACCGTAAGAGATCGCGCACACCACGTAGAAGCATTTCTCGTAAGCGATCTGTCTCTAGACCACGAGAGACAGATAACCCCGACTGGTGCTGGTATCATAACCAGTATGGAAAGTTTTCCAGAAATTGCAGAAAACCCTGCAATTTTCCCAACACGAAACCGACTGATTCGAAAAGCAATTCGGGAAACTTCCAAGCCGGCACGCGTTAACGGCAACCGTAGCCGGCGAACAAAGCCGTCTGTTATTCGTCACAGATGTGACAACGAGAGTTCGTTACCTCGTCGACACTGGCGCAGAAGTTAGCGTTCTCCCAGCAAATCCTAACGACCGACTACACGAATCGACCCTAAACTTACAGGCGGCAAACGGAAAACCGATCGCTACGTATGGCAAAAGGTACGTTTACCTTAACGTGGGTTTACGCAAACCCATCCACTGGATTTTCGTTGTTGCAGATGTTTCTATGCCAATCATTGGTATGGACCTTCTACAACATCACAATCTGATCATCGACACTCGCAAACGGAGGCTAGTAGACGGAAACACTAATTTGTCCGTTTGCGTAACTTCTTTACTGGTTGTAGAGTATCCCCAGTCACAGTTAAACATATGATAGACCCACTCTATCAACCACTACTCGATAAGTACCCTGGGATACAACAAACTCAACCGAAACTACCGTGTGTAACCAGCAATGTTACACATCACATCACGACTACAGGACCACCTGTATTCTCTAAAGCACGACGACTAGCTCCTGAAAAGCTAAGGTTAGCGAAAAACGAATTCGATCACATGATGGACTTAGGAATCATACGACCGTCAAGTAGCCCATATGCATCTCCGTTGCACATGGTCCCTAAAAAGGACAGCAACGATTGGCGTCCAACTGGTGACTATCGGCGATTGAACGCGAAAACCATTCCCGATCGTTACCCGTTGCCTCACATTCACGATTTGACAGCTACCTTGAAAGGTACAACTGTCTTTTCGAAAATCGACTTGGTTAAAGCGTATAACCAAATCCCTATGGCTACTGACGACATACCGAAAACAGCTATCATAACTCCTTTCGGACTCTATGAATTTTTGCGAATGCCTTTCGGTCTAAGGAATGCTGCTCAAACATTCCAAAGATTCATAGACGACGTTTTTCGAGGTCTCAACTTCGTACACGCGTATGTTGACGACTGTCTAATCGCAAGTCCGGACAGAGAAACACATCTCAAGCATCTGGATCTTGTTTTCGAACGACTACAAAAACATGGCATAACTGTAAACGTTCAGAAATGCCAATTCGGAACCGACTCGTTAGACTTCCTAGGACACACTATCGATGCTCAAGGCATTCGACCTCTTAGGACCAAAGTGGCGGCCATTCTGGATTACCCAGAACCGACCACCGTCAAGCAATTACGCACGTTTAACGGCCTCGTAAGTTTCTATAGACGTTTCATACCCAAATGCGCATTACTTATGAAACCTCTGACCGACCAACTTCGTGGAAATGCGAAATCCATTAATTTGGACGACACCGCACGAAAAGCATTCTCCACAGTTAAGGAACTGATTGCTAAAGCAACGATGCTCGCACATCAGGACACCCGAGCACCCATTAGCATCGCAGTAGACGCATCCGACTCGGCAATCGGAGGAGTCTTACAACAATGGGTTAACAACTCCTGGCAACCCTTGGCATTTTTCTCTAGAAGGTTGCTAGACACCGAATCGAGGTACAGCACATTCGGTAGGGAACTCCTAGCTATGTATTGTGCTGTACGGCATTTCCAACACTACATCGAAGGTCGTGAATTCACTCTTTTCACGGACCATAAACCGCTCACTTTCTCGTTAAGCTCTCTTTCTGACAAGTACTCTCCACGTGAGTCTCGACAACTGGACTACATTTCGCAGTTTACTTCAGATATTCAACACATCTCTGGAGCAAACAATGTAGTTGCAGACGCTTTATCTCGTATAACTTCCTTGAACAGTTTCCAAGGAATCGACCTTCTTAAACTCGCCGAGCTTCAAAAAGAAGACAGTGATCTTCAGCACGAGTTATCGTCCACAACACTTAAACTACGCATCAAACAGATGGGAACGGGTAAGGAAACCTTACTTTGTGACACATCTACAGGTAGGGATCGCCCAATCGTGCCGAAACATTATCGACGCAATGTCTTCAACACATTGCACAAACTTTCGCATCCAGGTGTTCGTGCAACCATCAAGCTTATAGCAGAAAGGTTTTGCTGGCCTGGAATGAATAAAGACGTGAGGGAGTGGGCACGCTCCTGTGTAAGCTGCCAAAAATCTAAGGTTATCAGACACAATAAATGTCCCTTAGGCTCGTTTAAAACTCCCGATGCTCGTTTCGACCATGTTCATCTGGATTTGGTAGGACCTTTACCAGATTCAAATGGATACTCTTATCTCTTAACCTGCGTAGACCGTTTCACTCGATGGCCAGAAGCAGTACCTATCAAGGACATCACTGCTGAAACAGTGGCCCGCACCTTCGTCGAACGATGGGTAGCAAACTTCGGTTGCCCTTCAACCATCACTACAGACCGCGGACGTCAGTTTGAATCCGATCTTTTCCGTCGTCTGACCACACTTTTAGGAATCACTCGCTTCCGAACGACCGCCTACCATCCACAAGCAAACGGGTTGGTAGAACGTTTTCACCGACAACTGAAAGCTTCGCTATCAGCTGCAAACGTTTCACAGTGGACCGACGCTCTTCCACTCGTCTTACTAGGTATCCGCAATGCAGTGAAAGCTGACATTGGATACACTGCGTCTCAACTCGTTTATGGTACGACACTTCGACTTCCAGGAGAATTCGTGGATCCTTCATCCTCTTCAATGAACATGGATCTAACCTCCTACACGAACAGGCTTACAAACGCAATGCGTTCAGTTAAACCTGCTTCCACTCGACCTCAATCAACTGATGTTTTCGTTCAACCTGACTTACGATATAGTACACACGTTTTCGTTCGTCGAGACTCGCATCGACGACCCTTCGAATCAGCATACGAAGGACCCTTCAAAGTTCTTCAACGTGAATCTAAGTACTATATAGTCGATAAGAACGGAACCAACGATAGCATCAGTATCGATCGCTTAAAAGCAGCGTATTTAGAAGGAAATCCTATCTACGTGGATTTTCCTTCGGTACAATCGAACGACACGACTCCGACACTTATAATACCTCATCCGACAACCAACACACACGATGATACTTCGACAGTATCCGAAAATAAACTTAAAACGACGCGTTCTGGAAGAAGGGTGAGATTTCCAGAACATCTAAACGACTATTGCACGTAAGGCACTTCTCGACATTTTATATTATTTTTTTAAAAAAAAAACAATTTTAATATGCTTATATATTTTTATTTCTATTTAAAAAAAAAACAAAACAAAAAAACAATTTTTTTAACGCTATTACGTGTTCATGAGTTTATTTTCCATTTTTTTTTCCGCCGACATTGTGCTTTTACGCACATACGAGTGTATTTCGACATGCACTTACATTTTCTTTTTTCTTTTCCAGGACGGCTGGAAAAGAACGATGACGTTTATGAGGATCCGAAATTTTCCATGTACATTTTCTTTTTTTACTATGTAGTACCTCCGTCCCATATAGTAAGGAAAGACGACCAGACGCTGCTAAATTTAGTAAGCTATCAGAAGAGTGTTTACCAACGACAAACTCGTTGGGTTTAAACTTCTGGCTGGCCACGTCTTAGGGTCGTCACTGCCCCACTAGGGGGGGAGTGATCTGTAGCGGTAAATAAATCCCCAAAATAAATAGCACTAAGTTTTCGACATTGGATGCTGACCATATGTTTTAGTGGACTCACCTAGCTGAAGGCGCTCGGTCAGGCATCCGCACCAGATCACGTGTGGTAACGCCGTGCTCAACATCAACCGCAATCGCTAGCCAGATTAGATCAGAGAATTCCGATATATTGGTCATCGCCAAATATACTCTTCCGATCTCCTCGACTCTGTCTTTTGATTTCTCTGGGCGGGAACGAAATATATTAGAAGGTGTTACTGGTAGAAGCGTTGTCAAACACTGAATACCTGTGACATCAACACCCTGATATGCGACGGTTTAAATGACTATCTACTGTCCTTAAATTTCTTCTCACCCCAACAGCATGGTTTCAGGAAGGGTTACTCTTGTATAACCAACCTGCTGATTTCACTTTATCTCAGGCTATGGAATGTCCTAGTGGGGTCCCCCAGGGCTCAGTACTAGGGCCTCTTCTTTTCTTGATCTACATAAATGATCTTCCTCAACAGGTAACGTCAGACTTATTACTTTTTGCCGAAGACCTGAAACTTTGGAGAGAGATACGCAACCAAGACGATACACAGGCACTTCAGGAGGATCTGACTCGACTTCAAAATTGGGCAGACGATAACGGACTTACCTTTAACACTTCAAAGTGTAAAGTAGTCCATCTGCGACATGTCGCAAACTACAGTTACAACTTAGGAAACTACTCTCTAGTAGTATCCCAAGTCGAAAAAGATTTAGGAGTCCTGGTGCCCCATGATTTAAAGTCTTACGCTAACTGTGACAGAAATGCCTTCCGAGAAAACTTTGCACTGGTAACGTCGAAGCGCATTTTTGGACAGTTTGACGGACGAACTTTCCATACAATCTTCAATAGTTTCATCCGTCCCCATTTAGAGTACGGAAACATAGTACTTCCCCCTCACTCCAATAGGATAAGGCCACTTTGGAGCGTATCCAACGGCGAGCCACGAAATCAGCTCGAGGACTCAAATCTAAGCCTTACGAAGAACGCCTCCATTCACTAGACCTTTATCCATTAGGGTATAGGCGTCTTAGAGGTGATTTATTAATTTCTTATAGTATTCTTAACACTTCTGGACATCCTCTTAAACACCTACTTAAGCTTAGTTCGAATAATAACCTAAGGGGTAACACCCAGAAACTGGAAACACAACATAGCAAGACGGAATGTAGAAACAACTTCTACTCCTTAAGAGTTGTCAAAGGCTGGAATTCACTGCCGGCCGAGCTAGTCCAAGTGACTTCTCAGGAGTCCTTCAAGAGGCAACTTGACCTATTCTTAAGGACCAAGGACAGCATCACACTATGATTTACCAATTTCTTTTCCTCTTTTATTGTTAACATACCTAGGTTCCTGCCTGGAGGATTTGGTGATCCCCTGCTACTAGACACGGAAGCCTGTTAAGCGAAAGCTTCTTCTATTCCGTTCACAACTATTTGAACCATCTGAACTCATTAAGAGTAAACGAACGTTAGAATTCGGTTCTTGAGCTAGTCAGAATAAAGTTCGAGGGTCTTTTTCCCTAGTACTGATACTCTTATCTTTTCTCACAGGAGTTCGTTTGACTGCATCAGATAAACGAAGTTTTGAAAGAACTTCTTCAAATTAAATAATTTGCCCGTTCGTCCTCCGATTCTGACTTGTGGTTTATATTATACAGTTGTCGAAAGGTGATCCCCATTTTCTTCGAAAATTTCTTTTGCTTTCCGAGATTTGTTGCATGGATATTTATCCCTTGACTAGCGAAAATACGCAAATAAGTCGGAATACTTTGAATACTCGGTTATATAAGGTAGATGAGAAGTGACGTCCAGTCAGTTCCTAGGCGTTATTTCTACTTCTTCCGCTTTATTTCAACATTCAATGACGTTTCATTAGGATCCCATCGTGGCTACTTACGGAAAGCGTCATTTTTGGAGCTCGATGGTCTGTTTTTTTTCCGCCCCGGATTCAATTTATTTACAAGCATATGATTTGTTCAAGAGCTCAGATGACTGCTAAGCATACATGTATTTTGCCTGGGTCACTGTTCAAAACCAAGTGATGCCATACTTTTTATCCAAGCGACTGTCAGCTGGTAGTTCCTCGACGAAGAAAAAACCATATTATTATCTTATTCTGATGTTTAGGTACTGAAATTATATAACTTCATGTGTATCATTTTGGCTGCAAGTGGATTCATTCAGTATTCGATCCCTAAGGATAGGAGGCATTGAACATTTCTGGCGTGAACGTCTACATTTTAACAAGCTCTACGGAGTTCCTGATACTTTTGAGGATCTGTCTGTTGCTGAAATGTCTAGCTAGCATTAACTCAAGTGTGAGCACCATCTGAGTAACATTTCCGTGGAGTTTGAAAGTGTTAATTATCAGTAACTCTTACAGCTCGGTTTAACAGCTAGAAATAATAAATTGATAAGAAGGCAAAATAAATCGAATGGTCATAGAATGCTTAAGACTAGATGGGAGGTAAAATAGGAGACGGGTTTTCACCGTTGTGGTCGACTCTGAGCTCTCACACAAGAATTCCAACTGTTGATCCCTAACCTTGGAAGCCGCGCTGGTCTGTTTAACGGTGGTCCTTGACTTTCCTATCGTATATAGTACGCGGTACCAGGTACGGGTACTAGGCAAGGATGGCAAATCAATTAATGAAGTAGCGAAACTTCAGTTGAGATGGCTGGGACACGTGCTACGTATACCGAACTACCGACTGCCCCGACGTGCGATGTTTTATGGTGTAGGAGTAAATTGGAAGGAGACTACAGGTGACCAGACCAAAACATGGCATAAATCCATGAAGTCACTGACAACTGGAGTGAGCCATGTTGGTAGGTGTAGACTACCTGGTTGGGATTCGCGAGACGATAGCGACTGATCGTTAGAGACCTTGGATGACATGGCTCGAAATCGTTTGCAATGGTGGATCCACTCTTTGTGTTCTCCCAAATTCTAATCTACTGAATTCTTCATGTCCCTCTATTTTTTTCTCTTCCCAAATTCACTTCACTGGATTATACTCCTTGAATAACATCTTCAAACCTTAATCTTTCCGATTACTGTTCATACTTTTACTATCTCTACCACTACGTGATTTGGATCGACAACTGCATCTCTGTGCTAATGTGGTATGGCAACTCGAAGTGATGTACGTACGTACGAAGTTGTACGTTGTTACTGACTGACTGGCACCATTGTCGGAATTCAGTGGCTACTTGTACTTAGTCTCCCAATCACTTCATGCCAATATAACCTAAAATTTCTGCCAAAAACCGTAAATGCGGCCTTGACAGTGACAGTATGCTTACTAATTGTATCAGTCATGAACTAACACATACATTCTACTAAATACAATATGAATGTTCTAAAATCTATCTCCTAGTCTGAATTTTTACTTGGAGGAACAAAAAGCTACTATGTAGTCAAGTTTAAAAACAGTACGTTGATAATTTGAATTCAGTTGCAGGTAAACAGCAGCAAGTTATCCTCAAAAAATCTGTCTAATCACTTTTTCCCATTCTTTATGTAAAGCTGAAATGGCGTTTGTCAAGACTCATTCGGGACTTTTTAATAACTCACAATCTTAATATGTAAAACATATGAAACAGGAATCCAGTAATTGGTTCATGACATACTCGGTAATATGAAAATATCATGCAGGTAACTAAACATTTTTGCCATCAGTTTATCAGAGTCGCTTTGTCGTGGGAGATGTGCAAATAAATCATGTCAGCTTCTGTACAGTGATGATGATAAAATTGTTATCTCAAAGAAAATTGCCTCAGAAAGTCTGTGCGTTTTACATCTAGTACGAGTAATCACGATTGACCATGTTTCAGCAAAATACATTGACGAAGTTTATTGTAAAATGTATCATATTGTGCCAAATATCGGAGATGAACTTAGGTCGGGCAATAACTTATCTCACTAGCTAGTATACAATAAGTGGTTCAATACAACAAATTGTCCATAACGGCCGTAATAATAAGTAATAGTAGGGGTGATAAGCAGTTTGATTTTTAAACTCTATGGGGTCACAAGGGAAAGTCCCGTTTATTGCTTCCATCCCTCCCAAAAATTGTTTTTCAAGACTCAGCACATTACCTTAGTTACTGAATCATGTTAGTCTAATTTGAGGAGTTTAGACATTGTTGTCATCAAAGTTTCTGATTTTGTATAATATTTTGGAAACATTTTCGTCAGTAATTTTATTTATATGATACGAAACTCATATTCGGTGTTTTGTTGATTTTTTTAGTCAATAGGAAACCTCCATACGCCATTCTGGGTTGTCATTTACAGTTATATACTGCAATGGAATATTTGGAGAATGCACCATTAGAACCTGGATGTCCTACCTTCGAGGTAACGCTCTTTTCTAAATATATTGCCGTAGCGGTCAGTCATAAAGAAACTTGATGCTCGGGTTATAGATTCTGTGATGAAATGGCCTCAACCAAGCGTTCTCGGTGAACTTTGGTACTCCTGGTCTCGAAATAAAGGTTTGTGTTTTTGTTGGTGTGTTTACTCAAAGTAAATAAATAAAGGTACCGCAAACCATTCATCAACGCTTACATTCTACGTGTTAAATTGTGTGAAGCAGGTGAACAAGAGACGATCATGGCGAATTTTGTTTCAAATTAACAGAAATGAATCTAACCTACATATATTTATTTATAGTGTCTACTGCTTAGATATAAGTCACTGGAGATTTAAAATTTTTAATCTTTTTTTAAGGGTATGAGTAAGTGTCATTTGCGTTGAGTTATTCAGTTTTTTTCGCTCCGCTACCACTAATACGAGAGATAATGCACTCAGAGTTTGGGATCTGATTTTGATAACATCAGATCAGCTCTGGAATTTAAGATAAATACCTCTAAGTAGTAGTCCATCAAAATCTAGTTAGCTTCCTGTTTTGTGTACATATATGGTACTGTTCGAAAAGCATGTAAATGTCTGGTACTAGTTAGTTATATTAAATGTGCTAGATAATTTTTCCGCGTGGTAACCGCGACCAGTGACTGGAGATTTTTGGCGACGTGGCTGAGAATCTGTCACGATGACGCAATTTATTTCACTCTATCTTCTGAATATTGAGTTCCAATATTCCTTTGTACATACTTTTTCACTGTCATTTTAAGGCATATTCTCAGTCTCTAGTGTTTCTTATTAACACTGCTACTTTATTATTTCTATCTACTAATAATCTTGTTGATTTCTTGTCTTGCTAATATGCTATAGCATCTTTGATTAACTCGCATTTGCCCATGGCTCTACATAGTTAATAACTGGCTTAGACGTGATTTCAGATTAGGGTTATAACTTGAAAACAGGACGGGGAATGAGTATGTTTTAAATCTCGGTTGTATTTTCACTTTTGACAGGTTGGCAAAGAAAAAGGTTGACAGTTACTTCGTCATACTATCACTAATTGCCAACGTGATGTGGTAGTTTGACCGTTATTTTGCCGTCAGTAAGGTTAAAGTTTCGCGCTGTACTTATAACTTGCTTAACATGAAACGAAAATAGTGAATTATTGTATAATTCCCTTTATATTTTTCAAAATTCGGCCAATAGTTTTAAATTGGCTAAGAATTGTAGGACGCATTAAACTTCGTTAAAGTATTGAAGTTCTTGCACTAGCTAGTAATTAAAGCTAATATGCATAAACCTACAGCAATCTTTTTGTTAAATCACTTTTTTTCATTTCAATTTATCGGTGAGCAAACCTGATGTTTTTTATACCTACAGCACATAACTGGACTGTAGAGGAAACTGTACATTGGCTTACAAGTTACGCCAAACTTCCGGAATATGAATATTTGCTTCAGAAAGGAAATATTTCAGGAAGCATTTTTCCTCGGTAACTTAGTACTCAATGCTTTTATAATTGTGTTTGCTGTATGAAAATTATCTAAAAGGGTATACATTTTGCGACAGCTCGTTGTCAGTAATTTCTATTAATGTCGTAAGATTATTTGAGGCTTGTCCTTTCATTTTTTTTCAGCGGTGAAAATCTTCGAAGGTCGTTCTAATTTAAGTCTTATTAAGTATCCTACTCAAGATTGCTGTTCCACTTTTTAGTGTTTCCCTTTATTTGAATATTTCGATCTGCTAATTAAACGTCAAACTCTATCCTTGTTATAGTTCATGTCTTTTTCTAAGTACACGTCGCAATGTAACAATAAAACTGAAGATTTTTATGGTGTTAAGTAAACTGCTCCCTGTTCATGACACTGATACTAGCCTTGGTTTGTAGATCGAAATTAAAATCCCTAACCCAGTGGTTACAGATTAAGTTCTTAAGCTGCTGAGCACACTGCTTCCTTATTAACGTATGTTGAGATTTCTTAAAGTTCAGGAATCTAAGAGAACATTTATATAGAAATCCAACGCAGGTAGATCTGTTTTATTATTTTCTCTTTTGTAAGTAAGTTGGATTATATAGTTTGAAATTAGCGTGAAAACTGTCAAAATATTGATTTCATTTTATGGATTTAATATCACTTTCCTTAACGACTAGGATGTAGTTAGAATATCTAGATGACAAATTTAGGTGCAACTCGATTTCGCACAAATTAGAAACAGACAGAAAAATATCTTTACTAGGTGGCAGAATAAATTGACAAAAACATGAGTTTGGAATCCGTTGTAATGGTCCTAAGTCATCTATTATTTGTGCATTTAGGGGTTTAGTCGTCGATTCCTGTTGATTCGCAAGCATGTGTTCTCAGACAACCAGAATCTGCAGCAATGCTGCCTTTTCTTAACTAAAAGAGGAGGTTAGGAAAAGTTGACCCCTAAATTTTCACATCTCATCTTACTACAAAGATTTCTGTTTCTAAAGGTAAAGCTTTTTGAAGTGCAGAGCCAACACATCAAAAAATTCCCACAAGTCCCTGTACGACTGGCCTCAAATAGTTATCCCTTTGGCTCTGCGGTGACGTTCCCAGGTAAATACGACCATTACTAATCCGGGTCTCTTTTCAGTTCCCTTAGTAAAAAAGATCTTTTCGTCACGTGGGCAACCGAAAAGTAACAGCCGCCTTTATGCCTCTACCATCACTAAACCAAATCTTTTTTCCACTTGTTAATATTTCCTTCTATCACTACTATCAATCCTTCGCCCGCAACTTTATCCCCATATATCGCCACTCTTCGAGTCCATGAGATTTTATTGCTGGCTTCATGAAGCTGCACTCCCAACTACATGATGAAGCTTTTAATGTTGGACGTTATGTCGAATAGACCAACCTGATTCCTTAACTAGGACTCTAGAATCCCGTACCTGCGATGTATTCTGTGTCCCTTAAACACACACACAGTATCCAAATGTAGTCAATCACTTGATTTTATATAGTTAATAGGGAGAAGCAGTGCGATTTATTTGCTGTATACCTCAAGACTCAATTGCTACATCTTGCGGCCTCGCTGATGCAGACATAGCGCTAATTTCAGTCGCGAAAAAGCTCTACCAGACGGGATTCCAACAGAAAATCGCTTTTGTACTGTCCGACTATGTAGGAAAGCAAGAACACAGAAAGATATGTCGTTGTTTCTCCCAACACTATCAACGACTGCAGTTCGGATTGAGTAAAAGATGAGTTTTATAGAAAGCTTCTTGCTCTCTTACAAAAAAGCCAGAAGTAGGTGTCATTACCAAGGTTTGATTTAATAATTTCGAATAAATTGAGCATTGGGTTGATTGTTATAAATAAAAAATAATAATATATTTGTAATATCCCAATGAGTAGAAAATCCAATTTTCTACTCATTGGGATATTACAAATATATTATTATTTTTTATTTAAAAAAGCCAGAAGCCCAAATGTGATTGTCACTGTCAACCTTAACGTCTATGTAGGTAGTTTAAACCAAGATGAAAGACATGTGGGTGGGTCTCCTAGTGTCCCGGATCAATTAACAGACAGCGGGGACAGCCTTTTACAACTATGCTCAGACTATTGTTTGTTCTTAGCAAGCACCAATTGTAATCATGAAGACATTGTTTGGTACGGCGAGTCCAATAATCCACTCAATGATTGACGTAAATAGATGATAAGTCTTATCGATTGAACGCTATATTAGTTTCCTAAGCTATTCTGGTAACCCGCAAGCTAGAACTACACAGCGACTTGAACACCAGAGAGAAGACGCAAGTATGAGGGAAAATACTTTACTCCAAGGTTCATTTTATTGCAGAAAATATAGGGTTTTTATAATGTTTTAAATGTCCTTGGGTCGCTGGAATATTCTGGAATGCTACTAAACATGGTAGCACTGTAGCAGCCAACCAATCAGAGCTTCCGCATGTGACGTTTCGCTACCTTGATATTTCTGGCCAAGACTCCAAGTGAACGCTGATTGAACCAAACACTTAGTCTTTCTTGATGCTTGCTTGTCTTTTGCAAGCAATTTCTGGTTCACCCCAACAATAGACCATATCTCCATGATTCATCGTTGAATAAGTTCGATAGAAGACTCCTCATTTTGGAGCACACGTTCTATTACTACGTATTTGTCAGGATCTTACTGGTCATAGAAAGCCGCATCAAAAAAACGTAAAGTCCAACCCAGTAATGAAGAAACCAAGAATATATTTCAGGAACGTTTAGAGGAGCAGTCAGTCAATCTTCATAGTTATTTTCACCTCAATATGAGTCGGTATGATATCCAGTCAAACATCTGCGAAAACAGCACTGATATTTACAAGTGACTATAATCAAAGGTAAAAAAGGTCAGTGGATTTCAGCAGTGTCTACTGAACTGATATACCCTCGGAAACTCATCTCGTCAGACTCCGAACATTGTGAGAAGCAACGGCAACTCAAACGTAAACTGTCAAAAATGTTACGTAATAATCTTTAGCAGTAGTGGGGAGCCGAGGTAAAAGCGATTAAAAAGACGGCAGCGTTAGGCAACAGTGGAGAGTTCCTCAAACATATCAAAGAAACGTATTAAAAATCCGGTATTTATTGATACTGTTTTTAAGAAAGATCGTTCAGTGGTGCGCTTTAAACCAAGAAGACTGTTATGATAGAATACTTTGTAGAGCCGTGTCTTCGAACTGTCATCTGCTTTTGCAACCTCAAGTGGTGCCCGTCAAGGCTGTCCACTTTCTCCATTTTTGTTTGACTTCATCATAGACCTGCTACTGGAAATAACGTTCTCGTCGACTGAATTTTTGGGGATTGATCTCCTACTAAGAGGCACACTTGTTGATTTGGATTATGCAGATGATATAGTCCTGTTTAATGAAGATGCTGATAAAATGCAGAGTCTTTTGGTAGCACTGCAACAATGCTAGAATATTTGGGATGCACTTTTCCCCTTCTAAATGCAAGTTGTTGCTTTAGGACTGGCCTGCGTCAACACCTGAACTAAGGATAGGGAGTGAAGTAGTCGAACGCGTTGACAATTTCACTTATCGTGAAATTCCGATCAGCCCAAATGGGTTGGTGTCTGACGAAATCTCAGCACGGATTCGAAAAGCTCGATTGGCTTTTGCCAACTTACGTCACCTATGCCGAGGTATCCGTCTATCAACTAAGGGACGAGTATACGACTCGGCAGTCCGTTCTGTTTTAATTTACGGCTGCGAAACGTGGCCACTAAGAGTAGAAGACACCCGTAAGCTACTAGTATTTGACCACAGATGCCTTAGGAATATTGCTGGCGTCTGCTGGGATCACCGGGTAAGTAATAGTGAGGTTAGACGCAGGGTATTAGGTAATGATGGTAAATCAGTTGATGAGGTTGTGAATCTTCATCGACTGAGATGGTTGGGCCACGTGTTACGTATGCCTGAACACCGATTACCACGTCGTGCAATGCTAACGGGTGTTAGAGATGGTTGGAAGAGAATTAGGGGTGGCCAAACCAAAACGTGGTATCAGTGCTTGAAGACACTAACCTCTAGTCTAAGCCATGTTGGTAGATGCAGACTACTTGGTTGGGGTCCTCGTGACTGTCGTAATCAGTGGTTGGAGACTCTTGGTGACATAGCTCAAAGTCGATCACAATGGCGTCGGTGTATACACTCTCTGTCTTCCTTTAAACTATGAGATTAAAATCGCTTCATATCTTTCTTTCTATGAACTAATTCTTTCTTCCCGTACTATGTCATTATATGCAATCTTTCTCTTATATATTACCACCACTGGATTAACCACTGCTATGAATCCGGTGTTCATCTTGTTGTGCTGATGCGGTATGGCAACTTGGACCGATGCGCATATGTGCCCGGTCCTACGTTATAGCTGACTGACTGAGGTGTCTTCGAAGCATTGCTCGTATGTTTTGGGACCATTAAGTTAGCATTCCTGAAGTTAGGCGCAAACGATTCGGTAAGAATAGCAAATCAGTTGACAGTGTAGTGAATCCTTGTTGATTGATATTATTGAAATACGTATTGCATATGCCCATCCACCGGCTAACTCGATACTTGATGGTTAGTGCACTAGTATATTGGGAAGAGAGCTAACAGCGGCTAAACTAAGATATGTCATCAGCCTATAAAGAGACTGACTGCTAAACTGAGTCATTTAAGTATGTAAAGACTGCCTGATAGGATTCTTTATGATTGTCGTAGCCAACGGTTGGAAACTTAGGGTGAGGTTCACTCCTTTTTCTTCCCTTAGAACATAGGTTTCTAAATTCCTTATAAGATTATTTCACTAATTTATATTTTGTCGTATCGTATATTTGATTTTCAGTTTTTTTAAAGTCATTAATACTGTTACTACCTCTACTATTCTGGAATTCTCCGTAACAGTTTCACTTCACCGTTCTAATGAGATGTGAAACTTAAACTGAATTCCACATATGCCAGGTTGTACGCTATGTATGCCTGACTGACTGGAAGGCCGATACAATGTGACTACCATAAATTTAACCGTTGAAAATGTTCTAGAGTTCAAAGGGCGCTATAATCCTTATAACTCAAGTTTAAACGAAATAAAATATCCGGTTTTATGTTTCAGCAGTGCCAACTATGAGTTGTGTTATAAATTCTGATTTTCTGGGAAACTCTTATTGACTATTTTATATATTGCCACTAAAACTCAAAATTCTTAAAGGAGGATAAAAGTCGATTATTTAATTTCGCTTGGTTTTAGGAATAAATTTTCCTTTTTTCACTTTCTTGAGAGTTGATCAATCGTGTATCTGTATTCTACTAATTTGCTTTTAGTGTTTTTAGACCATATACTCTTACAAATGGTTTTTATTAATCAACTTACATATGATTTTGTGAGATATTGAAAAATACATAAGCCTTTAAATGGTGTGAATATTTGTGATGCACCTTTAATATAAGAATGTACTTTTAAATCATGTTCCTACTAAGTTTTAAACATATCAAGTTATGAGATAATTTAACTATTAATACTTTTATTGTATCTGCCTCCAGTAATTTTATTGGGACTTCAATATCAAGATTTGTCTAACTGTTATCAAATCTTAATTTTACCTCATACATGTTGTTTGTTTGGGTCTTCTCATTGATGTTCAAGTCTGCGATTGATCAGTTTCTTGATATATGTGCATCTTGTTCAGATCGCCTTGACGTTACCGTTAAGTCACAAGCAGTTTAAGCAGAGATGAGTAGTGGCAATATTGAAGTCATCTGGACAGGATGCACATATGCTAAAATGGCTGACCGATTGCAGTCCTAAACATCAATGGAAAGATCGAAACAACCAATATATATGAATTAAAACTAAAATCCATCCCACTCTACAAATCAGTGGCTATCATAACTCAGTAGCTAAGTTTATAACGCGGTGGCGTTTGAAGCGTAGGGTATTGAGTTGGAGTCCCGGAGTAAACACCAACTCTGGAATTCACTGCTAGCTGCCACTCATCGTTGCTTAAAATGTTATCAAATCATTTTCTAAAATTAAAATACTTATTCCAATTATTGTATTTGTAAGTTGTTAAGATTTTTAGTTTTAAAACTAGTTGGTTTGTAGAGAATGGCATTTATTTTAATGCTTACTATTTTTGAGTTGATCTAGTCACGATAATGGTAAAAAATTTGTCAACTCGCTTAATTTCATTAGGATTTTCGAACCAAACGTTTGGGAAGCCCATAACTTCAACAATGTAAATTCATTGCATTCTGGATTGACTAATCATGTATCAAATGTTAATCTTTTTGGTTCTCCTGAAAGGAGTAAGTCACTTAAGTATACAATAACCCACTGTATTTTTTGGCTAGTTTACTTGGATAAACATACGACAACCTTTCATTCTTCAGTGATTGTTGCAAACAGCATATAACGTGATGCAAGTTATCACAGTTTGCATCATAGTAACATTGAAAGTAGTATCAGTGCCAGTGGTAACTCAACCATAGATTACAACTATCTTATAAATCCTAACCAAAAAGTTTGCTTCTTATCAAACAATTCAGTCCACTAACCTGTGTCTCTCTAAATTAATGAAGTAATTGTGTCCGAATTTTACGCCTTTTTTCAACCTACTTCTATACTTGTGTTATGGCCCAAAGCAGGCAATCAGAAGCGAGCAGCCTAAAGTCCTGATTGGTCCTGCTTTCCGCCTAACCCAGCCAGTTGAGTCCAGACCACCAGTCTCAGCCTCTGCAATATGAATCCTTATATTTCAAACATACTGAGTTCATATACCGATCAAACAGACCACAACGTAGCATAAAAATAGAAAATAACATTTGTACAAAATTTGGCCAAATGTGGCTGTGAATGTGGGAGACCGTGACTAATAGACAGGGCATAATTCAAGAATGGTAAAACGTATAATAATGGTTCATAGATCAAAATAAAGTTCATAATAAGAGGAATATGAATAGTTTAGTAATTTAATAACTATACGATAAAATATACGTTTAGTATTGGTCCATAAAGGATCCCAAAGTTACCATTCATTATGTTTATCGGGACCTGACAACTTGATAGCGAAACACTCCAGTGCATGCAGTGATTGTGCGTGTACAACACATGCCTCAACCACTTAAACCAAGAAAGTTTTACTAACTTATGCTAGTTATATCTTGATGCTCCAGTGTGCCAAACACTTCTATGTTATGAATATAACAAAGACATGAATTTTTTAAATCTAGGTTATGTGTTTTACTGGTTCATATATGCTGGTTAGTCGATAGTTGATTCAGTGAAATGCATTAGTTAGAGATTTTCTAGTTCAAAGTCTGTTTTTAAGTACTCTCATGTCTAAGAGTGCTCCATTAAGCCAATTCAATTAAACGTTCTTGATATATATCACAACTGATTGTGCTTGTATTATTAGGAATATTTAGTGTTTTCTACTAGTGAATAATTCAAAGTTTTTTGTAAATGCTCACCATAATGAAAATGCTTAGACTATCCACCTACATATATGTAGTCAGTAGATAGATAAACAGTAATGTTTATTAAAAAAGACGAAGAGGCTGACGGGGAGTTGTTCATAACCTTTACAATGGCGATAAACTTATGGTTCACGTTCTTCAACAGGCAATCTCAGGGTGATACAACACAACTTGACAGATCTCAAATAATCTCGCCAGTTCCCTGGTAGAAATCTCATTCTCATGATTGAAAAGAGCCCACTGTGGTTTTTGCAATATGTGACGCTTTAAAATTTGGAATTTCTCCAGGATCTGTCTAAAATCGAATAAGGCTTTCTTAAAAGATGTTACAAGCACGCGGTCTTATTAGACTATTTTAAAGGGAGAATTAAACTTTCCATACTATCGGCTGTATCAGGGCATCTGTTGACAGTTCTTTTGATACAGTTGGTGCATTAAAAAAATCAAAACTCAATCTTTGTCTATATTTTACTTATTTCAGGTCCTAGTATTTATCTGATTGTAGGCGTTTTAATGCTGTTTGGGTTATGGTTTACATCCATGCTGACCATTTGCTTTGTTCGTATTCTTTTAAAACCTGGAAAATCAACTCTTAAACATGATGGTTTATTAAAGAGTCGAAAGATTCTACAAGCACTTGAGAAAAAGTTAGTTTTGTATTAGTATACGTAACAGAGTTTCCTTATACACATCTATTCTATGATTATTAGTTTTCGATCCATTCTATTTGTTTTTTGATATCCTTGTTATTATTTATTTATTTATTTAAACACATAAATATTGGCACAGAGGGGCACCAAATACAACAGCAATGAGAATGTGAAGAGATAAAAAAATGTAAGGTGCGTATGAGAAAAAGGGGAACAATAACGAACAGAAATAGGTGTATGACAGTAAAATAATAATGGAGAATCAATTCAGTTAGCAAAGGTACAACCAGGAAGAATTCTTCCAGTTAAAGAAGTTACGTCCATTTTTTATGGACCGTATCTGATAACGTCTCTAGCCAGTGTTACACCGTCTTTAGGACCGCCCCAGCCAGGTAGTTGTGAAGGACCAACAAAAGCCAGTCCTCAACAGTTTTCTTTCACACCACGGCCCCATGTTATATACTAACCACCCATCCTCCTTTCCGAACCAGTCCCAGCCTTGACAAATAATACACGATATGGAATACTTTGGGACGACATTTGTAGAACATGTCCAAGCCACCTAAGTCTGTGTTTCAAGAGAGTGACTAATTGAATTATCGTCGCTGTGCTCGATCACACGATTCTGAACTTCTGCATTACTAACATGGTGTCGCCACTGGATGTCAGCAATCCTTCGGAGATAACGATGATCCAACACAGTGAGTCGTCTAACATCCTCAACTCTGAGAGGCTAGGTTTCACAAGCATAGAGCAAGACTGCTCTCACCGACGCGTTGTAGATCAGACCTTTTACAACCAGACTGACATCACGAAGGCGCCAAAGATGGCCCAGATTGACATAAACCGCTCTGGCTTTCACTATACGTGCATTGGTCTCATCACTCACGCCACCACCAACACTTATGCAGCTACCTAGATACACGAACTTGACTATTTCTATCTGCTCACTACCCAGGATGAGTACAGGACCAGGGTCCTACCAGTCTTGTAGAAGTACTTTGCACTTCGAAGGTGCAAAGCACATACCATACCTACGGACACTGATTGCCAACTGATTAAGTGCGGATTGCATGGCTTGGGCATTATTGCATAATAAGACAATATCATCCGCATACTCAAGGTCGAGAAGTCTTTCTCCAGGCAAGAGATCCACACCAGTAATTATTTTCATTTCATTTTATTTGTGTGTGGTCTGTGATACTGCCCGGGTGCCCAGACCGAGGCAGGTGGTTTTCTTGGGGGGGGGGCACACCCGAATCCTTTGACCTAAAGGTCTAATTCACAAGGCAGTGGAGGAATGTAGAGAGGTGCAGTCCCATGGTAGTTGGTGACCAACAATTGGTTCATGCTCCATTTGTTCCTTCAGGATACTGGATCCCATGTGCATTATTGGTTGAGAATCAGGTTTTCCCAACTCCCCTAGGTAAACTCTCTGTGTCTACCAACCCAGGTAAAGCTCCGAATATTCGCTTTTGGTCCTCTCAGTTTCGTAAACAACAGTAATTTCGCGAGAAGGCAGTGAGTAGAACTTCTCTGACAGTGGTTGTATGCATGTGGCCATGTGAGAGCATTTCGAGAGGGAGAGTGGACTCTACTCACCCTTGGCCGTACCAGGGCATTTGGGGCATATCTTTGGTAGCGTCCAATAAAGTTTCGTGACCTTTTAATTATTATGAAGGGTTCTGAGTTTGGTATGAGAAAGTTTAGGTTGCTAAAATAGTGAATAGAATGTCTATCAATAGATGACACGACCGATAGTTAATTATGAGATCGATGTGTTTTGATACTATTCTCTAAATTGTAGGTCAGTATAACTGGCCGAAAAAAAGTCCTTAAAATAAAGGTAAGACACTTATAAACAAAATTTTAACACAAAATGAACATTATTACATGTTAACTCACTTGGTATTGTTTGCTTGTATCTTCCCATTGTTGTTTAGAACTGCAATTGACCAGTCTCTTGTTGACATATGTGCATCCTGTGCGGACTGCTTCGGTATTACCTTAAGTCGCCTCCGTGGCGCAACCGGTTAGCGCGTTCGGCTGTTAACCGAAAGGTTGGTGGTTCGAGCCCACCCGGAGGCGCTTCTCACTACCCGACCGTTGTTGCTACCTTGACGTGGTGGTCGGGCTTGCCTATCGTGATGAAGCAACCGAGCTATACTGGCTGGAACAACCGTTTCTCAAGGTCCTACCATGTCAGACAGGTCGGTTGAAGAGCGGTAAGACTAAAAGCAACAAACCCAAGGTCCGAAGGCGAAGTCGTACTGCTGACTGTACAGAGGTGTGACAGCAGTAAGGTGTTTCCTTCAGACAACCAACATGACAGCGATGCTGCCTTCCCACAAGGAGGGGTGGGGTTAGAAAAGGTCGACCCTAAAAATGCACACCTCACCTTACCTCACGGATTTCCGTCTCCGGCGGTAAGGCCCTTTGAAGAACGGAGCTAACATGTCAAAAACCTCCCACAAAAAGGCCATGCGCGACCGGCCTCAAGCAGTTGTCCCTTGGGCACTGCGGTCACGCTCTCAGGTCACTGAGACCGCCACTAATCCAATTTCCTTTTCAGGTACCTCCAGAAGAACCCTTCCACGGTGTGGGCAACCGGGAAGTGATAACCGCCCTCATACCTCTAACAGCACCCAAGACCACTGTATTCATAATCAACCTTCCTCTTCAATTCCTATTATTCCTCCTACATCGACTTTCAACCCTAAACCTCCTCCTTCGGCTTCCTCCTCAAGTGTCACCGTAGCCAACGATTCTAGTGCTCAAAACTCTGTCCCAGGTCTACTGAAACCTCGCTCCAAACTACACATTGGAGCCTTCAACGTACGCACCCTATGTCAAATCGGTCAGCAGGCTTCCTTGGCTAAAACCCTAGAGTCTCTTTCCATTGATGTATGCTGTGTCTCTGAAACACGCATACAGGATTCCAGTGTGGTCATTCACTTGACCTCACCTCGGCAAAACGGAGAGCCAACGAGATACACCCTACGTGTACCTGGTGACCCGATGGCCAGTTCTCGTGGACTGGCAGGTGTAGGCATAGCACTAAGCAAGAGGGCGGAACAAGCACTGCTAGAGTGGATCCCCGTCAACAGTCGTCTATGTGCTGTTCGGCTAAACGGCTCCGTGAGAACTCGGAAGGATAGGGACACACGTCGTTGCCTTTTCGTCGTTTCTGCCTACGCTCCCACTGACTGCAGCTCAGATGATGTGAAAGATGAATTTTACAGAAAGCTGTCCGAACTTCTTCAGAAAGCTAAACGCTCAGACATAGTACTCGTAGGGGGTGACTTTAATGCTCAGATAGGTAGCTTAAACCAAACAGAAAGGCATTTAGGTGGATATTTTAGCATTCCGGCACAGCGAACAGATAATGGTGACCGTCTGCTGCAACTGTGCTCAGACAATCGCTTATTTTTAGCAAACACAAATTTTAAGCATAAGGAGAGACATCGTCTAACATGGCGACCGCCTGCACCAAGCCAACGATGGACTCAAATAGACCATATTGCCATCAGTCGTCGTTGGAGAGGGTCGGTACAAGATTGTCGCTCATTCTGGAGTACCTGCTTGGACTCTGACCACGCCCTAATACGTGCACGCATCTGCTTGCGCCTCACTGGACGCAAAAAAAGCCACAGTAAAAAGACCCATTCGAACCGAACTGAGTAGCAAGGAAACCAAAAGTAGGTTCCAGGAACAACTGAGGTCACGATTAGGTAGTTCTGAAAACGAGGCTGACCCAGATGTTGCTTGGAAAGATATACAAGCAGCTGTGGAAGCAGCAGTGACATCTATTAGCGACTTAAACCACAGAGTTTCAAAGAACCAGTGGATTTCTTCAAAGTCTATCACACTGATGAATTCTCGCAAACTCGTCCCATCAGGTTCCGAACATGAGGAAGAGCGACAACAAATCAGATCTAGGTTAAGAAAAAGTCTAAGAAACGACCGTGAGCAGTGGTGGGCAACGAAAGCAAAAGAGATGGAAAAGGCGGCGACTATAGGGAACACAAGACAGCTTTACAGACTAATAAAAGAAACTGGAATTAATAAGTCAAGTGTAAGTGAGATTATATCGGAAAAAGACGATACACTCATCTGCTCCCAGTCCAGACGTTTAGAACGATGGGCGGAACATTTCAGAGAACAGTTCAGCTGGCCTTCAGCTACTCTACAACTACCCTCCATTCCCAGACAGTGTGAATGGAACATTGAAGTAGGTCCCCCAACTCTAGCAGAAGTTCAAAAGGCTATAGTTAATCTGAAACGAGGAAGGGCAGCTGGTCCAGATGGATTGGCTTCAGAAGTCTTTAAGGATGGTGGTCCAATTTTGGCGATTAGGTTGACTGATATTTTAGCTAAGATCTGGGAGTTAGACGTTATTCCATGTGACTGGTCGCAATCACTTATCGTCCCAATATATAAGAAAGGGTCAAAATCATCCTGTGACAACCACAGAGGGATTAGTTTAACTAATATAATATCTAAAATACTAGCCTCGATAATTATCAGACGCCTAACTAAGACTCGTGAACTGCAAACATGAGAGAACCAAGCTGGCTTTAGACCTGGTCGTGGCTGCATCGACCACATATTCACCATTCGTCAGGTTCTAGAACACAGGCATACTTATCGGCGTCCGACAATGGTGGTCTTTCTCGACTTAAAAGCAGCATTTGACTCGGTAGACCGCGAGATTCTGTGGCAGTGTCTGTCATCGAAAGGCGTACCTCGGAAGTACATAAACCTTGTAAAGGCTCTTTACTCGAACACTACTAGTCGAGTCAGAGCTTATGGCGAACTGTCATCTACTTTTGCAACCTCAAGTGGTATCCGTCAAGGCTGTCCACTTTCTCCATTTTTGTTTAACTTCATTATAGATCTACTGATGGAAATAACTTTCTCGTCGACTGAGTTCTCGGGTATTGATCTACCAGGAGGTCCACTTATCGACTTAGAATACACAGATGACATAGTCCTGTTTGGTGAAGACGCTGACAAAATGCAGAGTCTTCTGGTAGCACTGAGCAACAATGCCAGAATGTTTGGAATGCGCTTCTCTCCCTCTAAATGCAAGTTGTTGCTTCAGGACTGGTCTGCGTTAACACCTGAACTAAGGATAGGGAGTGAAGTAGTCGAACGCGTTGACAACTTCACTTATCTTGGAAGTCTGATCAGCCCTAATGGGTTGGTATCGGACGAAATCTCAGCACGGATTCGGAAAGCTCGATTGGCTTTTGCCAACTTGCGTCACCTATGGCGAAGGCGAGATATCCGTCTATCAATAAAAGGACGAGTATACTGCGCGGCAGTCCGTTCTGTTTTAATTTACGGCTGCGAAACGTGGCCACTAAGAGTAGAAGACACCCGTAAGCTACTAGTATTTGACCACAGATGCCTTAGGAATATTGCTGGCGTCTGCTGGGATCACCGGGTAAGTAATAGTGAGGTTAGACGCAGGGTATTAGGTAATGATGGTAAATCAGTTGATGAGGTTGTGAATCTTCATCGACTGAGATGGTTGGGCCACGTGTTACGTATGCCTGAACACCGATTACCACGTCGTGCAATGCTAACGGGTGTTAGAGATGGTTGGAAGAGAATTAGGGGTGGCCAAACCAAAACGTGGTATCAGTGCTTGAAGACACTAACCTCTAGTCTAAGCCATGTTGGTAGATGCAGACTACTTGGTTGGGGTCCTCGTGACTGTCGTAATCAGTGGTTGGAGACTCTTGGTGACATAGCTCAAAGTCGATCACAATGGCGTCGGTGTATACACTCTCTGTCTTCCTTTAAACTATGAGATTAAAATCGCTTCATATCTTTCTTTCTATGAACTAATTCTTTCTTCCCGTACTATGTCATTATATGCAATCTTTCTCTTATATATTACTACCTTTGACCTAACCACTGCTATGAATCCGGTGTTCATCTTGTTGTGCTGATGCGGTATGGCAACCTGGACCGATGCACATATGTGCCTGGTCCTACGTTGTAGCTGACTGACTGACTGACTGTATTACCTTAAATCACAAGTCTTATGAGCATAGTTAAAAAACGTGAAATTTATTCCTTTTTATGACTTTCTATTTCTCACTGATTATCCAACTGATAAAGTTTATTATACGCTCTCTTGTTTATTCATTGTCTATGCATTTAGATGTTTTTTCCTTCTTTTTCTCTGTTTATCTATTAGCTTATCCCATCAGGTAGAAACTTATGATCTAAAATCGCTTAATGTTATTAGTTCATATGACAATAATGATGATTCAGATCATGTAAGTTTATTTTACTTGAGGTTTTGCATAAATAACTCAAATAATCAGATAAGATTTTGTATATTCACTTTCTTTTTACTTTGTTATAGTTGTATGTAGATGGATTAGTGTACATAGCTCAAGTTGATTACATTTATGGTTAACAATATCGAAAACTAAACATAGTAAACCAAAATTGTGATAGAATTTTTTACATGGAGATAGTGTGAAACAATTGACATGAGTGTAAATAACTGGATTACAATAATATATATATATATATATATATATATATATATATATATATATATATATATGCTAGAAACAGGTCAGAGGTCCAAAAAGGGGGTTAATTCAGGTTGGGTGGTATAATAGTTTAGTGAAGTTCATAAATTGTGTGAAACAAACGAAGATCGACAAGTCCTCTCCCCTCAGTTGCTCCAACTGCATTTACCAATTCACATGTACGTGCCGTAGCACATACATTGGAAGAACTGAGAGAAGAGTACAGGTTCGCATTTCTGAGCATATTCCGAAGAACTTGACACTGCGAGGGACTAAAGCTTTCAACAGTGCAATAGCTCGGCATCTACCTGACACCGGGCATACCTTCGATATTCTGCCCGCGTTTAAAATTACCAATAGACAAAGAAGTTCTACCACTCTCCACTTTGCTTAAGCCATTGCAATTAAGAAACTGAAACCGGATTTATGCATTCAAAAAGAGACTTTAATAAACTTATCACTACCCTGGTAATCTCGTTTGTTTCCGTTTGTTTTTATTGTATTTTGGTTATTTGGTTATTTTTATTCATTTACTTATTTTAAGATATTTTATGCTCCCCCCTATTACCTAATTCTTAAACTAAAATTTTATTCACACATTTCCACCACCTGATCCTCTTAAATTATCTTAACTTTTCAAATTCTATTTAATTATTATTACGTAATCTATCTTATCATTATTCAATTCCATTAATCTCTCTAATTATCACACAATTTATGAACTTCACTAAACTATTATACCACCCAACCTGAGTTAACCCCTTTTTTTTACCTCTGACCTGTTTCTAGCATATATATATATATATATATATATATATATATATATATTATTGTAATCCAGTTATTTACACTCATGTCAATTGTTTCATACTATCTCCATGTAAAAAATTCTATCACAATTTTGGTTTGTAAGCAGCTGAAGAGAAACCTCGAAATAATATGAATTCATACTATTCTGCATCAATGTTTGTTTTTGCTCTATTTAAATTCATAAAGGGAACCAATTGCATAAACATAGTAAATATGTTTCGGTGAGGCAAAAATTTTTTTCTCCGGTATCATTCACTACATCTGTAAGATTGTATTTATAGGTGTCATTTTTACTTTTTTTCGGTTTTTTCTTGGCATGCGCTTGCTTTTTCTTTATTTTCCTAACCTCTTTAAGTGGATAATTATTTTTCACATATCTGTTCTATATCTTAGTTGAACACGTGTTTATTCATATTCTTATCTTCTCTATAACCTTCAAGGGTATAATTCATTATTCGTTCCTATATATTATTTTCTATCTATTGCGTAACTTTAAATTCTGTTTGTCTTTCAGTACCTCTGTTATTGATGTAATAATTCTCTATTTTTATTATTGGCCATCGTATTTAAAAATATAATTATAAATACCATTGTACAGGACTGATAAATGATATTTTCGGAGGGAAATTTTTCTTCTCTGAAATGTCTTCACTTAGTTTAAAAGTTCAATAGGTTTTTTTCGTTGTTTTAAATATCAGAAATTTATGGAATAAATAAATATCTGATGTCAGTTTGTAATGAAATCCCTAACTCGGAATCTTATTCTTAGTATTATAAACTACTTATTTTCATTTACTGCTTTTTGATTGGCTTAATAGGCCAAGAGTTTTTTAATGTTGTTTAACGAGTCGCTCAATGATCTTATAGTTGAGTTGTAACGTAATTATTGGCATATCTTTTACCGTTCGAATAATTGAAGACTTGTTATCCTCTTTTTGAATTTTATTACTGTTGGTACATTATGGTCTTGTATTATTTGCACTAATAGCTTAAATAACCATATAGATAAAAGAAAAGTTCTGGTGACCATTCACTTAACTTTCAAGTGGTATCATTGAATGTTTGAGTTGCCCAACAAATATGTGGAGAATCCAACAATATAATAAAAATATTAATTACGTTATAGGTGGGAACGTAATGTTAACATTAACTCGTCAGCTACATATCTTTATGTTCATATTGTTCTTTGTTTACTACTGTGCACGTGATTTGATCGTATCTTTCATTTTTCACAAAAAAATAGGGGTGACTTACATCAAAGTTATATTTCATTATATAAAAATGAAATCTCTTTTGTCTTTGTGTGCAGAAACTTGTTTTTCAATCCCTTTGATATACAATTTTACAGTCACATTTGAAACGTTTTTGTATTGATACCTAAAAGCTTTAAATATTTCTGTACACAAATCCTGAAGTATTATAAGTACTATATGATTATATTATTAAGATTGAAAAGGTTTAATTTTATACTTTGGAGATAGTTTATTTGCTTGCATACTGTTTAAAAAGTGGTTTCGGAATATTTCCCTTTAGAGTAATAAAAATCTTAATTCTTGTCTTAAGCTAAATTGGAATGAAGTCAACAAAATTCTTGGCCAGTCGAAAATCAATGTGTTTTTCTCCAATACTCAGTTATCAGCACTTGTTAGTTTGCTTCACGAAAGTTACATTATAGAAACAAAATATCTATTAAAAAAAATCAGTGGAACTGCTCAAAAGCTTTCAGTTGCCGAAGATCTAGTAAGTAACCGCTATTTTTTCAGAATTTGCTTTTTAAGGTATCTGAAATGTCATCTAGATGAGTGTAGGTGTACGAAACTTGACTCATAGAAACAGAAGACTTGTATCTTTTTTTAGTTTTGGATTACAGGTATTTATGCAGAATTGTTCGCTTTAATTAGAGCACCAAATTAGTAATTTGGGGTTGGCGTAATATTTTAGAAAGTAATGTTAAGTCGATTATCGTGGTTATAAGCCCTTATCAAATTGTAGTTGTTGCATGTTTAATTGTTGTTTCACTGTCAACTAGGATTACTGGTTACCGTAGACGTAGTTTAGAAGAAAGCAAAGTCATAAAAGCTCATCCATTTACTTGAACTTCTATTGAAATGTTTTGTTCCTTTCACAATGAAAGTGTTTCAGTGTAAAATTTTATTACTAAATGTCTTCAGCACGGTCTACCAAATACATAAAATCTTTTCATATGCATCCTTTCACTATGTTTCATATGGAAATACAAAGCGTTTAAATGTGTGCTACATGACATTAACTTATTCACTTATAAAAGTTCTGGTTATTTCCCATTCTTCGTAGCACGCAGTAAATGATAAAGCTGATTTTATCTGATTATCAATGTACTTATTTAGTGTACTTTTGTTTTGTTAGTAAAATATACAGAGGTATTTTTGCTGTGAACTAATAGTTCTTTTAAATAATAGTTCGTTTTTCGTCTATATAGGTTAAATTTAATATATTCTCAGTGGTTATGGCATTCTTCTTTCAACCATTGCGTTAAAGTTATGAAACGTTTCTATCCTATCAAGATTTAAGTATCGTGGTAGTATCGTTATCAATTACTTAATAAGAACTTGATTGAATGCTGAAATAATAAAGAATGTATAGCAGTTTTTCTGTGTTGGTTTTATCTATGTTATGATCTGAGAGTTTTTATGTATGTTCTTTAAACTGACGATATAAGTTAGGTATGATTCAAAATTCACACTTATTTATCGTTCGAAATCTGTAGATGATACATTTAGAATGTTGAATAGAATCTTATAATAGTGTTCAAAGTCGGAGGTTTCATGCTATCATTAAGATTATAGTCTAACTTCTGTCTAATCTCTAGTATTCATCAATAGTGTATCTTTTATCTTTTTATTTGTTCTTTTTAATGTCAGTATATCAAATCACAAACCAAGAAATGTCTGTTAATATTTCCATGTTACAGCAAGAAATGTATAGATAAAGAAATGTATATGGTAATGAATAGAGTAAAGTAAGTGTAGCCTTAAACTTATCATGATATTGCGAATTATTTATGCCACATCATTTCCATCTGTTTAATATTAACATCTGAACTTTAATTTGTAAAATGATCAAAAACCCATACTTATCGTGCGAATTATTAGTGTGTTTTAATTTGACCACGCATATTGGAAAGTAGAGTCATTTTATTAATTTAGCAGACTAAATTCGAATTTTCACATTTTTCTTTTTCTACTCAATAATCATGCTTGAACTTACTAATCTCATTATTTGCCAGGATATATTTCATTATTATAAACTTATTTTTTCGTTATCTTATCATTATGCTAATACAATGAATATGTTTATTGTACAATGACATGCGCGGATTATAATATACTGACAAGTTGTCTATCTATTAACTTGAAATCAAGCTCACAATACAATTAGATAGAGTTATTTGTCCTTTGTAATTGCAGTAAAGACTGGATATATAAGGTTTATTACAGCTCCTCAACTATCTCCGGTATATTATATATATATTTTCTCTGACGAAGTGGCTTACATTAAGTCACAAAGCTTCAAAAATACAATTGCTCCACTCATTATGATACAACAAAAAATATTATTATATGTGGTATATTTTAGAAACAAGTACTTGAGGAATGTTGTAATCACGGTAGGCACCGGATCATGTACTCTGTATCGATTGATAATTCTTTTGGTTTATTAAACTCTTAAAGATTTATTTTAATTATCTGACCATTATAAATAAAGTTGTTGCTCAATACTGTATGCATTCGACTTCAGTCATTATGTCACTTACTCGAATTCTGCTTGATGTACCATTGTTTATGCAACAGATATTAATGGTCATAATTCATCGTGATTATTGAGTTGAGATTGATTGAATAAATTATTTATGATTATTGTGGTTTTGTTGTTGTCTGAAAGCTCCTGGGTAAAGGAAAGACGGATGAAGTTTTACAGGAGTCCCCCCCGTTTATTGGAGCATGCCAAATGTAGCCACTCCTGGCCCATTTTTATCAATAAAATGTGTAATGGAACAGAATTCGCGATCGAATTTCAACTTCTTCCCTCCATTGAGGCAACAATATTTTTCCAGTTGTTGGATTCACGCCTAGGGGCAAAATATTTCAGGAATTGTCGATTGCAACACTTTTTTGGGCTCCGTGGTATCGCTGATGTACGAGGAGAAGATCTGAAAACGTATATTGATCAAGCACAAAAATCGTCTGTATATTCCATAGATAAACACAACACACTCTACTTTATCTGAACGTGCTTCCCGATACATTAAATATAAATAAAAACACTCCAGTTATTTAAAAATTCATTTTGAACTGGAAGATTCTGTTGTTAACAAGATAACTTAATGGTAGAGGACATCAGGAAAACCTCTGCAAATCCAGATGAGACCCAGCTTTATAAGGAAGGACTCGGGAAATATATTTTCACGAGTGTCCTAACTAAGCCAACCTAGAAAATGATTTTTCAAAATCATCATTTCGAATTTCATACTAAATCCGCGCAGTCAGATTCAAAGCTCCAGAATTCGTATCCTCAAAGAAAAATATTCAATGGCAATCCAAAAAGTTTTATTAGTATCCCCACGTTTTTCACTTCATCATTATAGGTTAGAGTGGAGGTGATACTGATTTCTCCTGCTTCTCGGATTTCGGCCAAGAGTCGTTAGTAGCTATGGGTCAAATTCATCTGAAAATTACTTAGGTTGCTATTCTGAGTTGTACAACATGAGTTATTCTTTTGTTATTGTGTTTAATTGGTAGTCAAATTAATCTTTGACTTCAACTCCTTCGTCTTGGTAACTGCGCCAAGTAGGGTTCGATAAAAATATGTTAATTATTAATAACTTCCGCTCAGTTATTACTTATACTACTTTCTTCTTATTTTAATGATCACATTTACAACTTAAAAGGACTACAGTGCTAAACCAGTAGAGACAGCACTCGTTACGATTTCTTATAGATATATACTGTAAGCCTTATTTTTGTAAGACGGTTATGTAGTTTTTAGCTTATGGGTGGCACGGTATGTTATTTATTGATTCAGTTTACACAGAGTTTTATCGTTCTGTTCTCCCATTTTCATTTGATTTTTTGTGTAACTGTATATTAGTTTCATATACTTTAGCTATCTTTCTGATTGTTTATGTTTATTGTCATTCTCTTTTTAGAAATAAGGTTTCCGATCTAAAACATGAAGTAATAACTCATAACAGACGATGGCGTTGCATTTTAGCGGTTTTACATAACTCATGTACTAGGTTTTCTGGGTTCTATAATGTAAATGATATTTCAACCAGTTCTGACTCTTTCAAAACAACCTTCGAATGTAAGGAATCAGAAAATCCTGAACAAGTTCAGTCATTTTTTAAAGATACTTGTGACAGTAAAAATGAAAGTCATGCGAAATTGGATAATTTCGCTACCGAGTTTTTCGAAAGTAAGCTAATTTCTTTCCGAAACAATATGGTGTTACTACACAAAATTTAAAACTGTTTACAATATAATTTTCTGCGTCATATAATAACTATCTTAGTCAGTTTCAGTGTACGTAAACGTTTTTATATCATTTTTATAAACCAACTTTCGTATATCTCGTCTAATTTTCTTGGTTTCTTAAGTATGGATTTGATACTCAGTTTTGGTGCACTTGTAAAAATAGGTTACGCAACATTATATTTTCAAGTAATATATATATCGATAGAAATTGTAGTTAAATATTAAAAACAAAACAGAAATTTTAGTATAATATTATTCCGTTCTTTGGATTTTATGTTAGAATAAAGCCAACAATTTGTTATAATGTATCTTATTGATCCAAATACTTCATGTTTAATCATTGGAATGCACCTTTCATTTGGATAGTAAGTTTAGTTGAAAGCAAAGTACTAGAATGTTTGTTACTTTACTGACTTGTACTATTTATTTAATAAATTTTCGCCAAAATTGACCAATGGTTTTGTTTATTGACAATGTGTGGCACATGCTCAATATAGATCGACTTCTGTGTGCTCCATAATCTTAGTTTTCGACCTCTAAATCATTTTCTAAATAATGAATAAGTCAAATTAGTTTGTGATGTACAGTGATGCTTCTGTTGCGGTGCTAGTCACATTGTCTGTTCAGCTGTTTGTTGAGTTGATAAGTTTCTGACTCGACCTCCATTCGACCCAGTTCCTTTAACTATGTAGATTTATTTAAACAGAAGACTCTTTCGGATCGATTTGTCCAGAGTTGATTTAATGCTTTTGTATTGATCTGGTAACTTTTGCATTTTCCTTCTAAAAGCCGTATCGGGTAATGTTCTGAGATTCGTTTAGGAGGTGATCGCTTTGTACGGCCAATATAACCTGCCCTACAGGAGTAAATAAATTTAAAAATGCTTTTTGACATGGCCCAATGTGGAAGGTTATCTTTAATGCATCCATGAATGGTAGGCCGGCTTGAGAAAACAATACGGAGTATAGCTGAATAGAACGTTTCATTCAGGGTTTTTGAAATCCGTTTTTTCTAGATTTCAGCAGCTGTATCTTGTTTAAATTATATATTCATAAAAAGTTCCTTTTTGAGCAGTCGGTGTGTCTTCAGAATGTATAGGTGTTAAGTTCCTATCGACGAATCGAGGTGGATAGTCATTTCTGATGAGTATCTTTCGAAACTGATGTATTTCGTCATCTATTGTATCATTTGGACATATTCTCCTGATCCTTGAGGATAAAGAGTGAATAAGTTTCTCTCTCTACTCAATGGTCCCTAGCTATGGAAATTCGTATACTTGTTTGAAGTGTCCCCCCTGATACTTTCACATACAAATCTACCAAAGCTGGTATGTTATTGTAATTGTTTTCAAGAGTTGTCTAGTAACTAAAATAGCTGTTTGAAACAAAACACAAAATTACAGTACGATGTTTGTTACTGTTTCTTTTGTGTGGTTTTCTCTTTCCAGTAATTTTGCAATTTTAGCTGGTTTGTATACATGATTTGTTGTTAGAGAACTCCTAATCGAAAAGAGGTTGTACTTTAAATGACAAGTCTAATCATCCCGCTTAAATTATTAAATAGACAGTATGTATTATTCCAGATAACATGTTTCTGCAAACATAATAAATCACTTAGAAAATAGTGATAAATTTAAGCTGTACTTATTTGATTGGTAATAGTCCTCTACTAACTAATGAAGGAAGTACGTAAGCAACGAAATAATACATTGCTTTATCACATATAAATAGGCAATTCTTAACTGGTTGTGTGAACTTTTGATATTCGAATACTACCTATCACTGAAAAATATTTCTATTCAGTTTTTTAAAGTTCTTTTCTTTAAAGCCCCCAAGTTCTTTTGACTAACCGGCGTCATTTATTTGTTTATGGATGAACGCTTTCCTTTAGATAAAAATAAATTCATTTCACCTGGTGAGAACGAATCAGTCACTGGGATGTGTAATATTGATGAGGATTTTCCTGGGGATCCCAGGAATATATCGAAAAATGATGTTCCTGATTCTTATGGGTTAGTTATTTCTTATGTTTGTTACAAAATAATACAGTTTGTTGTGGAAAGGTGGAACCTTTGTAAACATTATCTATTTACTCGATCCATTGTGAAGTAGTATATGTTGTTGCTATTAAAATATAAATTTTAACAACTACTGACTGTCAACCGAATCCACCGATTGAAGTATTTAAAATTCTCAATAATTACCTATTTTCACCAAGGTTTGATATTTATATCCGAAATTATCTTTTTCTGTTCAGTTTTCAGAGATTTTTTGGCCTTTTCAATGAATTTGGAAGAAATTATATATATATATATATATATATATATATATATATATATTTGATCACTTACAAAATGCATCAACTCATTTTGTGAAAGTTAAATTTTCTTATATGTAATTGAGCTTTAGTTAAATCGTTTACTAATAACTCATTTCAATGAGTTACCTGCTCATGTTTGCTTGTACATGTTTCGTAAATACAAGCTTTATCGCTTTCTGTACCTAGTTATAAACCATTCGATATATAAGTGATTATGACGATAAATTGTCAATCAGATTAAAGTATCCAAATCAACTCGATGCGTTTATGATTGTGATTACTTCTATGTGTGAGGCACTATATATTTGTTGCTTTCAGTAATGATGGCCTTCATTCCATGTATCCTTACTCGATCGATTACAGGTTCATGTATTCGGTTTTCAGCTACATTTAATATATCATCACTCAGCTTTCTAAATCGAGATAACGTGTCATAACGATCGAACCTGAAAACCAGTAATTGGATGTCGAATCTTCTAATCACTAAATGCCTGATGCTTACTTATTTTTCATACTTTTAAACTAGGGAAATATACTACACACGTGATAGTTATATTTGTGTTGCTAGGCTTATTTATGGTTACACTCTCTATTTCAGTGATAATCCACAGATGGTCGATGCAAATAAACAAACCTACTCTAATCTACATTCTACAAAAATTCCTACTTTCATTCATTTTTCACTTTCATCTCAGAAAACATCTAGAAAGTGGAAGTCTGGCTGTGTTCAAAAGAAGCATATTTTTCAGCATGTAGTAAGTAAATATTGACTAGAAAATCTTTATCTTTCAGTCATTTTCACAAACGTAAACTCCTGACACTACATATTGTACTCACCTCATTTTTCTGATACCTAATTTGAAAGTTAATCAAAGTTAACGTTTGTTAGACATAACCTAATTAAATTCAAACAGCGCATATTCGTGAGTATTTAAAAATTGGCCTTAGACCACATACTTTGAGTTGGACAGAATTTAATTTTTAAATGGATCAGTAGTCTTCATTATTACCTGCTGCCTAACAATAATCTATCTTTCAATTTTTATTACGATATCACTTGTCAAGATATGCAAAAACTTGAAATTTACTTTTGCCTCATTCAGAATGCTAGTAAATAATTGAACAAAATAAGTGGTGAGAGTTCGCAAACCATTTAGAATCATCTAAACATATGTCCGATTTTCTCACTTCCTAGCCATCATTATCAACTTTAGGCTTAGTATTTTAAACAAATTGAGCATTGGATAGAATTTTAGTTACAGAATAATGGAAATTTTGTGTTGTACCAATGCGTAAAAATTAGAACTGCTGATGTTTCATAAAGAAGTAGCAGACTCCTTATCATGAAATGTCAGAAGTTCTGATTTTACTCATTGGGTTATCACAAATATATCAGTATGTTTCGATTTACTTTATCTTCACGATTTTAACTCTACTGTTTTTTTTATTTCGCTAACTTTCTTTTTATAGTATGGAAGCGGGTTATCTGCTCTTTCAACCAAACACCGCTCTGGCAACATTTCTCAAAATGGGAAATTAAGAATACCGTTTGAAGGTTTTACTAACACTACTAACCCTGCCACTGGGATACGAATACCCGAGTCAATTAAATTCTAACTTTATTTTTATCCTAGTTTGCTCGTGAACTTCTCGCTTTTGTTCTTCAAGCTATGTAGTTATCTAATAAATAATTTGTCAGGGTGCTTTAACTAAGTAACTTATTCAATATAAAGATAGTGTTGTACATTCCAGTTGTAAAAACACAACTCTTACATTCAGACAGTCGAAAACATAAGCATGGTCACTAATCTGTAATTTTATTGGGTTGGCACAAGAATAGTATGGCCGTTAACGTGGAGCTTAGAGGAGCAAGTCTTGTCGTTACCAACAGTTATGGTCATGCCTTATTTGGAGTCAGTAGGACTGTATTATTTGTGTTATTTTAAATTCTTTTAGTTCGATAACAATCAGTACAGTAAGTCGTTTTGTTAGACGGGACAATGTGGTAGTCCAGTTATACAATTGTCACACTATTATAGTAACAGGTTTATTGAAACATGGTAAAATAAGTTATTCTGAACAACGGACAGGTCGTCTATGAGTGACTCATATGCAAGTGTGTAACACGCAAACTCTGTGCCCAGTCTGAACAGATGAGATTTAAGAACTAAATACTTCAGACGATCAAGCCTGTGCTATACAAACAATCTAATACAGTACACGGTAACTTGTCAGACTGCGAAAGGTGTTGATTGCTCGAAACCGGAGAATAAATAAATGTGCCCAAGTGTCTGCACATATTCCAGCAAACTTCCCAAGCAGACAGTCAACGGTTAGTAAGTGGACTTTACGTAAGTTTGATTTCAGTCAAACATGATCCCATTTGCAATGGTCCGGTAATATCTCGAAGCAATATTATGTAAAACAAGTGAATCTTTGACGAAAGTCAAATGATAAAGTTTCTGACAAAAAAGACCAACGCTTAATAAAATACGGTTACAAGGGACATGAATAAAAGGTGAACACTAGGCTGAGAATAGAATAAAGAGATAACAAGTGCATCCAGCAAAACACGCGTAAGGGGTTTCCAGTGATTTCTTTTGGTTACAGTAAGGATAAAATAGCAATACAGACGTTTTCAAACTTGGCTAGAGATGCCTCAGGTATTCGGAGTTTGGTAGTGCTTTTGCAGGTGACGCCACGATCGAAGTATATCAACACAATCAAATCAGAAATGAAGGTATCCAAAGATATAATTTGGGGCTATCAATATGTCGAGAAGCGTTCGGTCTAAGCAAGGGATTGTGGCACAGCGTAACCACTCGTGATCTGGTGGAGATGTGTGATCGAGGGGCTTCAACTAGGTGTGCTCGATAAACCTAGTAAAGTTGACATCAATATCGGGGACACGGAATTATATGTTTGTGATTTACTTGTGACAAAAGTCATAACATTTCATCTCGTTTGTAATCATTTAGACCTACAAACGTTTCTACCTCTCTTTATTGTTCTAATAAATAAAGGAATACCTTTATTATTGGTTTCAGGCTCGGACGTTTATAGAAGTATTAAGATTACTCGAACATTCGGGTTGCTAATTTCAGAGTTCATATGATCTCGTCACGTGTCTGATTCGAATTTTCCATCAAATTAAATATGCTTCGTGACATTGACTATGAGATTTTCCGTGAATTAAATATGATTTACTGAGTCTGAATTTTCGAGTCATTTTTAAGATAATTTTCATTGATACACGTATGTTGTTTGCATACAAATGTATTAAGGTTTTTTGTGTCTAGTGAAGTCGGATTTTTTATTGTTGTTATTCACAATTGTGTGGTGATTTATTTTTATCAGCAGAACGCGATTGGTGCGATAGAAACAGTTACTATTATAACCGATTGTACCAGGGATCGTTTAACTGTACTAAGAACATACATTCTTCCATTGATTATCACCTTGAACGAACTCGGTTACCCTCAGCAACCACACTTATACTCATTTGGAACGTTCTCGGTATTCCTTCAGTGCCACGAGGTAGCCAACAAATACATCTCGACTACAGCCATCAACTGCCTTCTGATATTTGGCCTACGGGGGATCTTATCGGCTAACTGGCACGTTTTTCTGTAGTGGTGATCATAGTCAAGACATAGTCGAGACAGACCTCGCTAGATAAGTCATTCATTTCTCATAAGTTAACAGAATCTTCCGAAAAAGAACCAAAAACTAGATTTGAACACAATCTCAGCCACATTATATCATTACTAATCTATCTACCCAGAGAAACAGTTTCCAGATTTAGCATCTCCAAACTTTACAGGATAGGATAAAAATGGATCCCGAAATTACTCACAAAAGCCACTTCTTAAAGATTACCTTTGCTTCAGCTGAAGAAAGAAACCTGATTTTGGGAAACTCACGCAAACTGATTTGATCCGATATATATGTACCTGAGTATCTCAGCACGGTTGGTTGTATTTAGAGACGATCAGCAGTAGTAGTAGCAAATAGGCGCCGCCTAAACGGTGAAAAACCTCGTTTTTAGAATGTTGAAACTGTAAAAGTTCAGAGCAAAACGATCCTCAAACCACTCAGTTGGTAACAGAAGGCTCTTCGCAGAATTAAAGATTTGCTGTAAAAATGTTCACACCAACAAAATAAAATTGCATAGCTCAGGAAAATGGATGACATAGAAAACTACGATATCCTTAACATTTCAGATGTATGGTTAACTTCAGATGAGTAGTGTGGTGAAATTTAGTTAGTTGGGCTGATATACTAAACCGTTGTTGTGTTGAGGTTATCCTGTACACAAAAAAATACCTTAACCATACTAGTCGTTAAGACAGTGGCACATGATTCAGGAACATGTAAACTAGTGGACGGAAGGCTAGAATGTAAACTGCAAGATCTTGAATAAGTTGTATTATACCACAGACCAGAATGTGTAGTAGGTGAATTCCCTCTACGAATACGTAATTTCTCTTGAAATAGAAGTAAAATCCTAATAGTAAAAGACTTAGATAAATCTTAGAAACTTAGAAGTGGGGTCATTAATAACACCATTTGATTGCAAATTGTGATAAACCAAAACTCCCCTAGCTTTTTTCCAGTATATTAGTGATGTCAGCAGACATGAATTACGAAGCCCCTCGTCTCTCTTGGATCTAATAATCACATGGTGATTCCAGTCAAGTACCTTTACTCCGTTCTCTAGAGACAAATGATTATGCAAATTCGTGGCTAATGTAGACTGTGAAATAGTCGCGACAACTAGTCCTAATACATAGAAGGCAGAGATGAAAGCAATCAACTTTGTTGCGTAGGCTCAAAACAGGATAATTGACTCAGGAGCATTAGTATAAGAGGTATCCGTGGAGTTCGAAAACTCCTCGGTTCACCATACACAAGGAGGCTTGAAAATTTGAACTTTACCACTCTGTCTTATCGCAGATTAATGTGACCTGATTTTGATGCAAAGAATACTAAGATTCTGAACTTAATGTATCGTCTCTTTTTATTCCCACTAAAAATACCCGTGGCATACAGGTATTCACCCCGAGTCATCAATAATTGGAACCTGTTACATGAAGCAGTGTTGTCCGGAACTTCAATTGACTCATTCAAGAGAAGACTAGATACTCACAGAAGCATACTAGAAAAAGAATTACATAGGTTGTGGGACTTCTGTTCTTACTGCAAAAATAAAACTGGATAAAAGCATTATTTTTCATTGCGAAATGCTAAGACTTCACCGTTATCTGAATAAAACACACCCGATAACTGATCTCATCACCTGTTACGAGAATATCAAGTAGATTTTTAGTGGCATTGGACCGAAACCACACAATCCTCAAAGATCAATACGAGATTACTCGGAAAACAGATATCCAACATTTAACGCGGAGAAATACCTAAAGATGTAAAAGGCGCGAACAAGGAGTCGAGTGAATTGGAGTTGACCGAATGGCATAGTTCAGCCTTGCAGGCGTTGTCCCTGCTGAATATTACTTAATATCTTTTATTCATATTAAATATATTGTTCTTTCTCTAGCTTAAGCTTGTTCTCCATCATGTATTCGTTGTTATTACGATACAGTGAGTTTGTAGTTGCATTGAACAATAACCGCACAATCCACAAAGCTGAACACGAGACTACTCAGAAAATAGATATTCAATATTTAACGCGGATAAATACCTAACAATGAAGAAGGCGCGAACAATGAATTGAATGGGCTGGAGTTGATCGAGTGGCATGGCTCGGCCATGCAGGCGTGGTCTCTGCTGAATGTTACCTTATATCTTCTATTCATATTAAATATATTGTTCTTTCTCTAGCCTAACCTTGTTCTACATCATGTATTGGTAATTGATGCGATACAGTGAGTTGGTGTAGTCGATGGTGTGATTTCCACGTAAGATCTTATAGATTAGGCAGTTATATCATGACAAATCTACAAATTTAGGATTAGGTCTATTATTAGGGCAGTACTAATACTATAGTAGACCATATTTCTACATTGGTGAGCCCAACTAATGAAACGCAATCTATTATTGTTAATCCTTATTTCCACCTTAACCTTCTCAATCGGTTTTTATTTTTGTAAACCCAGTATTCTAATAGTCCTTTGATTAATGGTCACATATATTATCGTAATGTTATATCTATTAGTTCACATAACTTACTAGCTCAATCGATAATAAAAGTTGATCATCTATATCAACTAATTAGCTTTGATGGTTCGTTAACAAGCTTTAATAGCATTTACCTGCTTCAGCGACATAGACTTGTTTAAACATCAAGCTCTTGCAAATATAACCTGTAAATAGAGTAAATATACATTGACTAGCAATGCAATCAAGGACTAAATAGTTATCTGGATCTAATTCTCAGTGTTCCTTCACTTAATACCTCAACCTGTTTCAAACTAAGCACTGTCCTGTAATATCTTTTCTTCCGACCACTGCCTGCCTAATTTCATATTTTCGAGTTCCATTGCCAAACAACAAGGATGACACTTCTCCAAAATAAAAAATACGGTGAGTTCCAGCTATAAGTTTTCTGCAATCATAAGTTCATTTTAGATGGCACACACAATTATCTCGATTCATTC